TGGGCGTTGGTGAACGTTTGGATTCATGGTTTTGCGCAAAAAAGACTCTTGTGTCCGTCTTTTTTGCGCAAAACCATGAATCCAAAATTTCACGGCCGCATGTCGTTCCTTGATATCAGATATTGCACAAAAAAAAACGATTTTGAAGCGCTTGGGAAAAAAATTTATAGCAGACAATGCCAGTCGGCAATCTCACTCGGAAGGAGTGCTGCTAAGCGCTGCTAGGTCAGGAAGCTGGTACTACAAACGGCCCGCCTTTCAGAAATTAATTCCGGTTATTTTTGCATCCACCCTGGTATGATTCACTAACTGTGCCAAAAGCTTTCGATATACATATGCCATATTAAAAACGAATGATGGCAACCAGTCAAATAGGCTCAATAGACCTTATGCGAAATTGCTTGGTGATCTGACAACACTGCGAGCGTCGCCATTTCAATGTTGGCAAGCGTCGTCGGTACCAGAGCACGGTGAAGGCATCGGAGAGAGCCGTACGGGCAGTGTGCGATAGCGCAGCAGCTGCGTTTTCCGCCTTCTGACCATGAAATATGGACGAACAGTTTAAACAACCTACCGCAACTCTCTGATGAAACTCTAGGAAGCCTCTGCACGCTGGCAACAACCTCGTCGAAGCAGTGCAGCAAGTCCTACGCCTTCACTGTGGAAGCTTACACACTACGGGTTGTCGCCAGCGTGTGCATAGGCCTCTGAAAGTTTCGTCAGGCAGTTGCAGTAAGTTGTTTAAATTGTTCGTCCACGTTCCATGGTCGAAAGGCGAAAAAGGCATCTGCCGCGCCATCGCATAATGCCCGTATGGTTGTTTCAAATGCCTTCACCCTGATTCAGTAGCGAAAACGCTTGCTAACTTTAAAATACCGACGCTCTCAGTTTTGTCCGACTAACGATCAATTTCGCATCAGATTTATTGAGATGAGGCAATTTTCTTTGTAACATCAAGCAACATCGGCCAAAGTGTCTGCCCAAACAATGGCGGACTTCGATATTTGGTGCTGCAGCTACCATACTCCGTTCACCTCTAAGCTGAGACTGTGATGAAAGCTACGTCCTCGTTAAAACAGTTATACGTCTCTATTTCGCCACGTCACCAAGCTCCGACCCATGCCCATACCCACGCGCAAAGAGCGGGGTCAGGTGATAAGAGCAGTGATGTGATTGGTCGTAGTCATTTTGGAGCAGCTATTGCAGCAGCCAAAAGTTCATTTTGTAGAAGCAAAAAGAGCTTTTGAAGCATAAACGCACACTTCATTTTCATTTATATCACTGCAAATGTGAGGAGGAGATACGGCGAATATTAGGAGGAGAACAAACGCTAGCTGTTTAGTTGCATCTGGAAGTACCAGACACGGTAACAAGACGGTTGATGAAGGACAGCGCAAACTGCCGTGAGTGATTATTTTAGGTACGAAATTTCACTGAACAAATGTTAAAATACAATCACTTTGAGTACCTAGATTTACCTGTCCTTCAAGTTCTAAGGGGGGGGGGGGGGGGGGGTGGAGTGTCACCAAACTGCAATTCCTAAATCAGACAAAAACAAAGTTAAGAAATAAACCTACAAAAGTGTTTATATATTGTGGGATTCGCCCTTTTGGTGAGGAGTACCACTTAGCAACACAAAGGAGGTTCCTTGTATCCGGATAAAGACGTGTTTATTGACTGCAATGCCAGCACGCTTCGCTCTTAGACAATGAAAAGTCTGGGCGCTGGCTCAATTGCCAGTATCACCCGGTCGGTTTCCCGCGCTGCCGCATTAGACAGATTCACGGGAAGTCGGAGGCCCACACAGAAAAACCGAGCTCCGTAGAGCCAGGGCCTCCGCCGACGAGAGCCCCTGGCCCACCTTCGGGGCCAGCTTATGTAGCTTCGGAGAATGGACGCGCCCGGGGAGGCCACTAGCAGTCGCGTCCATTGTAACTCTCAAGGGTGTGCCGAAGGCGCGTTCACCCAAAATGGGCAAGGGAGAGCCGGCCCCTTCGGGAAATTCGGCCTCGTGGTGCCTTGTATCCGGGAGGCCGACGCCATTGGTGACGACGGCTCCCACGGCCTGCTCGAAGCTAGGCCTGGATAGGGATAGAGGGAACCCCATGGTTCCCACAATATACAATCAAACCCGTTTACAACGAACAGCAGGAAACGATACGATCAGTTCGATATAGCAACTAGTTTGATATAGCAAAAACCATTTACAAGGAACTTCCACGATGCGTTCGTTGTAAGGCGAGAGCTTCTCTTTCTCTCTCATCTCTTCGCTTCCATTTTGTAACAAAACGCTCAATTTTTTTTTTTTTTTTTTGCATGCGTGCAGTTTTTTTTTTTAGCTCTCTCCCCTTCTAAATCGCTTCTCTTTGTCAGTTTTGTTCGCGGCTTGAGCTTTTAGAACTTTCTTTCTTTCCTCGATTTTTTTGGGGGGGAAGGGACAGGCTAGAAGAAGACTGTTTGCACGTTTTCGGAACCCTTCCCGGGGAAAAAAGTTTGATGTGGCCTATATATTGTCCGTTATAAAAAGTACTTTTTACATGCATTTCTATTTAAATTTTTCGTGAGTTTAATGTGGGCAATAATTCGCTGTACGTGGGTTCGTTCTAAACGGGTTTCACTATATACGTTTTTGCACCACGTCTCGCTCTGGAGGATTACCTTTCCCCTTAGCACGCGGGTGTGCTGCAGCGAAGCAAGACACGAAACATCGCGACGCCTATAGTAAGTTACAGGTGAATAAGGTAGCAGCAAATGCCCCTCAAAGGGATTCATATATCTCTCCGCCACCTCCGCATTATAGACCGTTCCATTAGGGTCATAGCAGAGAGGGTAAAAGAGAAAAAAATGCACTCCCCCTCTCATCCCGCATGTCGTCCGGTTTGCCGAGTGGGCTGTAGCTAGCGTCCGGCTGGCGTGCAAACTCTGTTTAAAATCGCGTCATTTTGGAGCTTTCAAGCGCAGATTTTGGTATGCCAGTTGTCGTGTAATATTATGCAAGATAAAAAGACTCACAGGGTCCAATTGCGCTGTTACCTGCGTGCAAATAAATAAAAAAAAAATAGGGAAAACTGTGTCAGATTGGCCGGTCTCTTTGGCAAAAAGTAAATTTGGTTGCTGTACCTTTTTTTACTGTACAAAAGTTCGTACTGGTGTAGGCCTTTAGCGACCATGAGTGGAAGTCTGAAATAATAAATAAAACGTGCTCTCCTGCCGCAATACAAGCAATAGTTGAAGGTAGTACTGCCGACTGACTCAACTGCTATTTAAGTCACGGAAAGAAGATATGCTAGTTGATCATTTAGCAAAATAGAACAACAGAGAGCTATAGGCTGATTTTGGAGTAGCCACAACTATTCTAAGAACGCGAACCACTTCACAACAGCAGCCACAAGCGAGAGTCCGATGTTCGGTAGAGCCCACCGATACAGCCCAAAGATGGAGAACGGCAACATCCCGGTTTGTCGTCTACTAGCGGAGTCGGGCGCGTGGCCTCTCTCTCGTTTTACCCCGCCAAACTCGCTGAACTTCCCGGATGTGTGGAGAGGGCGCTGCGGTCGAACAAAATGGTGCCGCCCAGAGAGCGCTAAATGGAATGGTCTATAGCGCCCCATCGTTTCCGTGACGTCGTGGCCAACGCTGGAGTGGGTTTTGCCTTTTTGTGGATATTTGCTTTATTTTTCGAATTTCAGTGAGCGTTGTGAAAGCCACGAGAGGGAAATTAGAATTTTTCCTCTCTGATGGGAACATATACGACTTTGGGATGTTAGGTTCCCCCTCCGATGGGATACAAACCCCCCTTTCAGGGGCTCGGTCCCCTCTCCGATGAGTACAAAGGTCGCTTTCTTAAAAAGTGGGTGTCGGAGACAAGTTGGGCATCACTCTGTAGCCATTATTTATTCATTGAAGCGGAACAAGGGGCGTTTCCAGGGAACTATTCTTTCGACTCCGGATGGATATGAAACGGGCGCATCACGCTTATGGGAGGAGCTTCTCCTACCTTCTTGACTTGTAACCGACTATAGTTCACAATTGGCGCTTCACTGTAGTACACTAGTAAGCGGTGACAAGCGCACTCGGCAAAGCTAACTAACCCGCCAGAAAAGACGACGAGATTTATTGAAACACTTCCGAGTACTGTCAGTGATTGGTGCGAAATCAAATCTAATAGTACGTTATTTGAGGCGATTTTCGAAAGTCCTGAAAACCCGCACTAGCCTACTCTAACAATCTGGTCCAGTAGCGAGGCGTGCAGCTGTTATATTCGGCGCAAATGACACAGCAATCACATCACTGGGTGATAAAAGGGAGGCGGCTGATTGGTCCGGCAGGCACTGTAGTCTCAGCTTAAGGGTGAACAGAGTATAGATGGTGCACACTTTTTAAAAGGGTCACTTCAAGGGTAGCTAACCAGGGGCCGCTTGCTCGAAAGAGTTGAGACACAACTTGAGACAGTCTCAGCCGAGACCGAACGTGAGCCACTTGCTCGAAACGAAACTTAGTCTGGACTTGAGACTGAAACCGAGTCTCTGACTCAAGTTGTGTCTCAAGCCGGGAGACAGCCCCGTAGCAAATTAGCTGGCGGCCGATTTAAAACCCAAACTGAGACCCAAACGGAGACCCAAACTGAGACAGTCTCAGAGGTTAGCCACTTGCTCGAAACGAAACTTAGTCTGGACTTGAGACCAAAACCGAGTCTCTGACTCAACTCTAGTCTCAGATCGTGAGACAGCCACGGAGAAGGCTCACTGGCGGTCTCAGAGTGAACAAAATGTCGGACGTGGCTACGACAAGTCGGGTCCAAGCCATCTTTGCCGCGTGGATGCTGTCGCGGGACCGCGTATTCCGCGACCGCTTTCACCCCTTCGACGTTTTCGACGAAGAGGGCCTCCAGCGTCGTTTTCAGTTTGGCCGCGATGGCATCCTGTACATCGCCGACGTCTTGGCCAGCGACCTCATACGACCAACGAGACGCAACCATGCAACCCCCGTCCTGATTCAAGCGCTCCTAGCGCTGAAATTCTTCGCTACCGGCACCTTCTTGATCACGGCGGGGGACTTTCTGCATCTGCATGAATCTACAGCGTCACGGTGCGTGCGAAGAGTGGCCCTGGCTCTGGCAAAGCAAGCGCCGCACTTCATACGGTGAGAAAAAAAAGAAGTCCTAACACTAGCGTTTCTTTTTGCCGGTGGGCCAGTCAGCTGCAACGTAATTTTGGATTTCGGGGAACAGAGACTTATTCAACTTGTTTCGTGAGAGGAAAGAGTTCTTCAACTTGTTTTCGTTAAAGAAAACCTTTTTTTTTTTTCACTAACATGCAGCGCCATTATTTAGCCCTCGATATGCGTGCTCAAAGCGATGTCTGGTTATTACTACGGTCCGTAATGGTGGGTGTGGTCCTCGGCACCCTCGGCACTATCTTTGTATTGTGGCGTGTTTCTCATTACGAAAAAACAACGTGTTTCACAACATGTTAGCGGGAGTAGCTGGTGGATACTGAAGAACGTTTCGGAAAGGAGGGTGCGTTTCAAAACAGTAGCGAATAATACGTACTGATACACACTCGATCGTGACAAGCTTTATGCGAACGGTCTGACTACGTCATAATCGAACATGTGCTAGATTCAACCAACGTTATAATTTAGGTTTCAATTGACAGTGTAAATCACATTTTCTACTTCAGGTGGCCAACAGCAGCGGAAGTCCCCGAACTGCAGCGGCAGTTCTACGCCGTGGACGGCTTTCCGGGCGTCGTAGGAGCCATCGACGGCACCCACGTTCGGATCCAAGGGCCACCGCTGCACGAGGAAGTGTTCGTGAACCGACACTTCTACCATTCCATCAACGTGCAGCTGGTGGTCGACGCGCGCTCAAGGATTCTCAACGTGGTTGCCAAGTGGCCCGGAAGCGTCCACGACTCGTACGTGCTGTCGCAGAGCAGTGTCGGGGAGAACTTCGCAACCGGCGCGTACGGCGGCCTCCTCATCGGCGACAGCGGCTACCCGTGCAGGCCTTGGTTGATGGCGCCTTTTCGATCGCCGACCACGCCGGCCGAGTGTGCGTACAACCAGACGCACGCAACGACTCGGTCCGTGGTCGAAAGGTAGGCTTCAGAGCTAGCTGCTCTCAGAGAAGACTAAGGCTATACGCACGACGTCGTGCACCTCGACCAGAGAATGGTAAACGCACGACGTAAAACGGTTTGGTTCTCGTATAAAAACACAACTGTCACAACGAGATTTTCAAAGTGACCATCGTGGCATTGCAGATAGGGGCTACAGAGCCCAAGCACGCCGTTTCACTGCACAGCTAAATATAGTTCACCTAAAATACTTTGCTGGGTATACTTTCACGAGTAAAGCTATACACACTCCGGAGTGCACTTCAGACGGAAATGGCTATACGCACTCCGCTAAACTCGTATAAAACGAATGGTCACAACGAGTTTTCTTAGCGATAGCATAGCATAGGGTCATTCAGCGCCCGGCAGTCGAAGAGTGCGGACGCGCGATGGCTCGCTCTGATAGCGAGGTGATAACGGCCGACGCCGGCCGCGGTGACAGGCATTTTTGCATCCCTGCCGACTACCGGATCGTGCTGCCGACGTTGCCGGTTGGAGACAAAGGAAAAAATCAAGTCTACCTTCACTGCGATGTGAACGCCAGGCCTATAAGGATCGTCGACTTCAAGGAGCCCTTGGAAAAAGCCGACCTTCGAAAGGATGTAGCAGGGCTAGGTGTGTGCCAAATGGGACACGTGTGGCTCTGTAGCCTAAAAAGTGCGGCAGCGAAAGAACGACTGCTACAGCTTGGCCGGCTCACGGTGAAGGGAAAGCTGTGCATCCCCGTAGACCCCAACCGGCAGGAAGTTCGGGCCAAGTTACATTGGGTCCCGTTCGACGTATCCAACGACACTCTCCGGAAGGCACTGGAAGAGTACGGCACAGTTCACGAGGTGACCAAAGAGAAGTGGCGAGTGGAAGGCTTTGAAGACATCGAGTCGACCACCAGGATCGCTAAACTGACACTCAAGGAAGGCAAGACGCCGGAGAACCTACCTCATCAGCTAAGGCTTCAGGGGGGCACGATCCTCGTTGTCGTACCCGGGCGGGCGCCGTTATGCCTGCGGTGCCGAAGGCAAGGACATATACAACGCGATTGCCGTGTACCTCGGTGCGGGCATTGCCGTTGCTTCGGACATGTGGCCCAAGACTGTGCACGCACGTACGCGAGTGCTGTAGTCAGCCGAGCGAGCGACGAGGGATGCGACCTCATCATGGATGAAGCGGAAGCAGAGGAGGCCGCAACATCGTCGACGCCATTTGAAAGGGCACAGCAAGACAAGGCGACAGTCGAAGGTCAAGACAACAAGAGAGCGGAGGCGACAGTCCGAGACGAAAAGCGCACGGTGACGGCTCCTGAAGCCAACGAAAACGAGGGGCAGGCGACAACGCCTGGAAAACCTTCACCGGATGAACTGGCGGTGACGGCGATGGGGAGCACCGGCACCGAGTCGGCAGCCATCGAGTGTGAGCCAGCCATGGAACTGGATCCCTCAAAGGTGAAAAGGCGACTGGCCGACGAGTCTCCGAAAAACGGCGCACCGGTACAGCAGTGGTCTGAGGGGGAGTTTCAGCTGATAGGTAAAAAAGGTCGCTACGTCAGCAAACTGCGGTCCTCGTCGCTGACCCGCGACGGGGGTCTGTCGCAGTGAGTAGTCACCCTGGTATAATATGACGCAAAGGGTAACCGCCGGAAGCTGGGTCTGACACTATAAAAAACGGCACAACTAGCGTCTGGTCTGCGCATAGGGACCCTTAACGTTAGGGGACTTGCGGCACGCCGCCGACAGTGCCAGCTGAGTCGCCTTCTCTTAGAGAAGGACCTAGACGTTTTGGCGGTTCAGGAGACGAAGGTTGAAAGTGAGAGTCAGACCGAGTTCCTGGTAAAACCGTTTACGTCGAGGTATAATGTCTGCGTCAGCCATGCTGTAGGTAGATCTGGAGGATGTTGTCTGTTCTTGAGGAGAGCTGCTGGGCTCATTGAAGAGAACGTTGTATCGTGTGAATCGGGAAGGCTTGTTTTCTGCGATTTTGTTTTCCTAAATCAAAAGTGGAGGGTTATGTGCATTTATGCGCCAAACGTGGAGAGTGAGCGACGCGCCTTTTTTGAATATATCGACAGATTTGTAATTAGTGACCGATTTACGATACTGCTGGGAGACTTTAATTGTGTTTGTATGCCAGAAGACCGGACAAATCAAAGACGAAATAGTGATAGGTCTAGCGAAGTTTTAAATCAGTTGATTCAAGATAAGGGGCTCGAAGACCTGGCACCCTGCATAACACCGGGACATCGGGTCCTTTACACGCACCACCAAGGCAGAGGTCATGCCAGGCTTGACAGGGTATATGTTTCAGCGGATTTAGTACCCCAATGTAAGGATTTCGCGGTCAGTCATGTCTCGTTTAGCGATCACAGTTTGGTGAGTTTTACCTTGGGTCAGCGTAAAAAACAAACTAGCTTTTCGTGGGAGTTGTGGAAGTTAAACGCAAAGCTCCTCGAGGACCAAGAATTGATAGGGAAAATCGAAACTAAGCTAGGCAGACTAGAAGACGTTTCGGAAAATAGCATATGTGAGGAATGGGAGCTATTTAAACAGCAAGTGAAGATTGACGCGATTGAACGAGCAACTAACATTAAGCGGGAAGAGCGAAGGGTAGAAAACGGTCTTCGACAGGATTTACAAAGGCTTTATGTAGAGGAAGAGAGAACGCCAGGAGCCTTCAAAGACGACATAAGCACTATCAAGGCTAAGCTTGAAAAAATAGATGAAGACAGATATAAAGGGGCAATCGTTCGTGCCCGTGCGATGAACTTGATTGTCGGGGAAACGCCCACAAAAAGGGCACTTGCGTTGGAAAAAAAGTATGCTAGCGGGAACCGGATTGAAGAAATAGAGTACAGAGGCGCAGTAATTCGAGATCAGGACAGTATTCAGCATGCTTTTGTGGAGTTTTGTACACATTTGTTTGAAAAGAAAATACCAAAAGAAAAGGGGTTTGATACGGAATTTTTGCCAAGTCAGCCGAAGCTAGATAGCGATACTACGACGTTTTTAGAAGATCCGATTAGTTTATCAGAGGTCGAAAAAGCGATAGATGACCTAAGCGTAGGCAAGTCACCGGGACCGGATGGTTTGAGCACGGCCTTCTATAAGAAGTTTAAAGAGCGAATTGCACCGGTTCTACATAGGGTTTTTTCTCAGTCCTATCAGAAAAAAGAATTACCACTTTCTTTCTTGTGCACGCACACGGTCTTGATACCTAAGTGTAATGACGCCGATAAGCTCCGTAGTACTAGTAATTACAGACCAATTACCCTGGCCAACGTTGACTATAAAGTGCTGATGAAGGTTTTAGCCAGTAGATTGCAGCATGTTATATGGAAAATCGTAGGGCCGCACCAAACCTGTGGGATAAAGGGTCGTAGCATTGGCACAAACATACACATCACTCGAAGTGTTCTAGAGGTCTGTGACGCGGAATATCGGAAAGCAGCTATACTTCAGATAGATCTTGAAAAAGCATTTGATCGGGTGTGCCATGATGTTCTGTTTACCATTTTACAACATGTGGGAGTTGGATCTGTGCTGCTGGAGGGGGTAAGGATGGCATATGTAAACTGCAAAACTAAACTAGTAATTAATAAAACAGTTAGTGCGGGGATTAACGTCCGCTCTTCAGTACGGCAGGGATGTCCCTTATCACCCTTGCTTTTCGCAATCTACCTAGAGCCCTTTTGCCGCTGTGTCATTCAATCTCAAGACATTAGGGGTTTTACACTACAGGAATGTGACATTAAAATATTGGCATACGCAGACGATGTTGCCATTTTTTGTTCGGACCCTCAAAGTGTGTTAGAAGCTGTTGAATTGACCAAAAGGTTTTGTGAGGTCACTGCCTGCGCGGTGAATTGGTCAAAGTGCGTAGGATTATGGCATGGTGAGTGGACGACTGCTCCAGTTGTTTTTGGGAATGTTCACTGGTCACGGACGCCATCAAAGTACCTAGGTGTTCCTCTAGAACATTACCGTGAGCCCACAGATTACTGGCGAGAAGAAATAGCTAAACTTAAGGCCACTGCCGAGAGGTGGGTACGGAGGGATTTATCCATTTTCGCGAGAGCGACTGTGTGCAATGTGTTTCTTCTGTCCAAACTGTGGTATGTCCTCCAAGTGCTGCAGTGTTCGAGAATCAACATTCAGCGGATTCACCGTGTATTTGCAGTGTTTATTTGGGCATCCCAATGGGAGCGAAGTCGCCGTACCAATCTTTTTTTTAAGCCCAAAGCGGGGGGTGTCGGACTGTGCCACGTATTTGTCCGACAACTCGTCTCACGCTTTATGTTTATCCGTGACCAGCGTGATCCTTTTCTTCGAACCGTTATTCAGACAAGACTGTTTGACGTTTTACCGGGATTTGTTGTTTCGTCCTGCCGGGTACGTTGCGGACCTCTGTCGGGTTTTTTGCGCGAAGTTGTATCTGCCTGCCGCTTTCTGTTCGTTCGTTTTTCTATGAACTATTTGTCTAGTGTATCACGCAAACATTTGACGCGTGACCTAGTGGCTACGTTGTTGCCCATGCCAACGTATAGGGCCATAGGCCCTGGAGCCCCAGGAGATGATGTGTTACAGCGAGTCAAGAACGCCATGGTACCAGCGGCGGTTAAAACTTTCTTTTTTAAATTACACAGCGAAACGTTGCCAGTAAAGACTTTTTTGGAGGCTAAGGGCATGAACCTCTACTGGTCGGTAAATTGTATTTTGTGCAAAGAACCGGAGAGCATCGAGCATGTCTTTTTGGGTTGCTGGGATGCTCTTCTTTTTTGGGACGTGCTTCAGCGCACCATAAAGAAAGAGCTCCCCCTGTCACCTCAAGGAATCCGGTTCCTACCAATAGAACGTGAACCTGTGCCCTACGACATAATCATGCTCCAGGGGCTCCACGGCATATGGAAGAGCAGAATGGCGGTGCGGCATGCTGATGTTGACGCACGCAACCCCCGAGAGTACTTCATTGAAACTATCAAATGGTTAAGAGAATGTTATAAAAAGATAAATACTGATGTGGAATGGTTACCAGTTCTGGACGATTTGGCCGTGCTTAAAACCTTTTAAATTAATCATCGCAACGACCTTCAGCCAAGCCTGGCTGATAGGCTTTTAACCCCTCCATGTTAAGCAATTTCTGCTGTTTTCGGGGCACGTTATTTTTATCAATATGTGTATCATATGTAACCTGGCAATAAAAAAAAAAAAAAAAAAAAAAAAAAAAAAGATAGCATAGCATAGGGGTTAAGGTGTCTGCTTTGTATGCAAGTGGACGCGGGTTCGATCCGGAGTAGGTCTACTTTTGTTTTTCTTTTTTTCTTGAACATTTTGTTTTGTCGAGGCATTTGGCGATTTTTACGACATTTCTTTTTTGCGATGATCACTAAGAAAACCGAATGTTGTCGACAAAACTTCGCAGAACTAAATGGTATGGGACTCCCTTTCCGGAGGTGCGATCGGGCACGGCGGGGCTTGGTTTGCAGACTGGACGCCGCGAAGTGGCATGTACTGGCTATGTTTTGTAATTAGCAACCGCACACTGTCGCCGCGAAGCGGCGTGAATGCAGGCGGGGGGCTGGCTTAACACGCTCCCCAGTGATACCGCGCCGTTAGAAAAGGGTGGCCCGATCGGCATGAGCTCTCTGCGGAGTGAGTATAGCCATTTCTTCCGAAATGCACTCCGGAGTGCATATAGCTTCACTCAACTTTCACCATCAAGTTAAAATTGTTCTTTTTAGCTTTCATTCCACAATGTTACTATAATATTAGTCAGGGTGGGCCAGACTTGTAGCATTTCTTTTTAGCTCCTTTCGGGGTTTCTTGTTTTAAATTTGCCGCAGGTTTTCTAGTTCCCTGCAGAACAAACATGGCATCTTTCTCACGTGCATTGGGCAGGGGTGGGGATTGAGCCACGACTTTTGAGCCCAGAATCTCTGGGTTCTGCAGCATGCGCTTTCGCTATATATTTTCAGAGCTGTGGTGCACCACCGAATCCCCCTAGGGCCAGCAGTAATTGAATGCGATCCGAATGGGATTTGACTTTGCGCCTTTGCTTGGGAATGTTCCTATTTCGGTATATTGCGTAAGCGCTATGATTTTTCAGCACCAGAAGAGTTAACGTATCGATAACCTCAAAACTGCAGCACGGATGAACTTCATGGCATTTCTTAAATTGATGCCCCATATTCATGTCGGTCGCAAGACGCATATAATTCTACGAGATTGAAACCTGTGTAATTTACCTTGCAAGTCGGTGCGGGTGCTTCAGTCAAGGCGTTCGCTTGTGTTTAGAAACGGGTGAAATGTAGGAAAATATCTCGGCTGTTGCAGTTCAGTGCCTCCAACCGCAATTCTCATACGAAGGAGTGAACTGCGGGAAGTGCATGTCTGTTAATCCAGAACTTAACAGAACTGCTTGGTGTAATAACACAAAGCCGTTAGCTCCGCCCCTTTAGGTTTCTCTTCATTGCACAGAAAGTTTATCCTAAGTATAGGAAGTCTTGTCAATAAAGAGATGCAAAATGAGTGTGGTACCTGATACAAACACTGATGACAGCTCAGCCCCAGTGCTTGTTTGTGGAGAACATTCTTTTTACCCACAGCCTATAATGCGTGCTTGATGCCACGAGGGATGCACGTCTTGTTAGAAGATGTGAGTTGCTGTACATGTTGCAAGCCTAACTTGATTTTTTATTTATGTGGCACCCTCTTTCCACTGTCTGCGTAGAAAACACGGTGCAGCAAACACATTCAGGTGATGCACCTTGATTTGATGGAGTGTCCAGATTATGTTCGGCGTGCCTGGCAGTTTTATAAATGCGGATAGCTGGTGCCCGAATCAAGGGGTCCATCTATCCACTTCTTCTCCATTAAATCAGCATAAAGAGTTTTTTGAGAGGTCTGTTCACCTTCGCGGCATCACCGCACCATTCGCAAACATGAGCCTCTCCTCCCTCTTTGTCTATTTAACTGTAGTCCTCTTGGATGGAGTGCCCTCTCTGTCGAAATGAACCAGTTCTCTTTCAAAGCTAGTTCAGAACACAATCTCTCCGTGCCTCCCCCTTCCTGGCGATAACGAGTGGCATCACTTAACTTTGTTTCTTGCAGTGTGGTACAGGAGAAGGATGGCAGTTAAGCCTGCCTTAGGTTATATAAAATGTGCCAAGGGCCTAATGAAGTTTTTCAATCGCAGGACGATCGGGCAGCTGAAGCGCCGCTTCCACTGCCTGCACGCCGAGCTGAGGATGCTGCCAGAGCGCTGCTGCACCATCGCTGTGGCGTGCTGTGTGATGCACAACATTGCACAGCACTACACGTGCAGGGAAGGTGACTGTGACCTTCCACCAGAGGTTCCCGTGCCTCCATCGCCACCCGAAGCAGACGATGGGGTGGCGCGCCGACATGCAATTGTGCACCAACACTTTCGTAGTGAGATTTAAGCCTACAAACACAAGTTTATCCCTTATAAACTCGTGTAAGAGCAGCGCTTTTTGTTACAAGATATCTTTTCAAGGTATTGGCCACATGGGATTTAAAAAATATATATATTTGTGCATCCAACATTTAATGTACTTGCAATCAAAATTATTGGTCTAATACACCTCCATTTCGAACCGGGAAAGAACAGAAGCATTTTAACAGACCTGGACTGCCATACATGTGCAAGCTTGTCACAATGTCTGTGGGCCCCTTTGTTGATTAATAGAAATAACGTAAAAAAGACACAGTCCACAGCTCACATAGGAAGAAAAGAAAAAAAAAAGATGATTCAACTGGTCGACATACAAAACGGGCCACTCATGGTGTAAACGTGAGCAGGAAAGCGACGATAGGGTAGAGGGTGAAAATCAAAAGATATTTACTGCCTTCACCAAGATGACAAAAACAGCTCACGCAAAAAAAACTAGGCGACGCGCAGCACACGGTTGTGAGCAGACAAACAGAAAACCCAACAGTAGCTGAATACATAGCCACAGCCTCAAAGCGAACGGGCGCAGTACAAGTAAAAATGAGTCTTATCTGCCGTCGACGCTGATCTAGGGGGCATGAATGCCTTTTTCGTGGTTTTGGTCCAGTCCGTCGGACGATTTCATCTGGTGCACTTCCTCACCCACCTACGCCGCAACACAGGGACCAACAGAACTCGATGGGGAACAATGACTTTCCAGCGGCAGGCTCAACTCATTGCCGTCTTCACGACCGCAGGACAGGAGAGCAGAGTCTCCGACTGCTCTCTGGATTCTGGCCTTTTTTCCTGCCAGTCCACTTCTATATACAAGAGCTAGCAGCATTCTGGAGACACTTGCTTTGACGAATCAGAAACAAGCTTCTTCGCTCCAATCAAAACTCAATTTTGTGGTTTTCAGAAAAACAACAAACACAACTCTACTTTCACACTTCATCCAGCTGGAACAGCGTCATTGGGCGGTGGTGTACGCGGTCAGCCAACATTCTCCGTTCAGCGCATACAAAAAGTTGCCTTTCCGCTAACGAGCTGTGCCCCTACCGTTTCCCTTTGGCTTCCCCACATGGTTTAACCGAACACAAGTCAAACACAAACAAAACAAACCTTTGATTCTGGGTGGTACACATACACAAGGCGGCCTTAACATAAACAAACCAGACCGCAGGAAGTTTCTCTTAGATACATTCGGCGTGACACAATAGAACACACACACAAAAAGCAATCGGTTCTTGGTAGGATGCGTACAGTACACAGTACACAAGGCGGAGTTGAGATAAGAAAGCAAGGACGTTTAAATAGGGCAGGACCCGGCATGACGTCGTACCCAGTGACGCCGGAAAAAGAACCCAAGCCCAGACTGCCTCGCGCACCGACGCGCTCTCATCCAAACTAAATTCAACCAGGCTCCCATCGTCTGCTCTCCGCTCGGTCGTTAGGCTTGGGCTATGTCTGCTCCGTGCCCGCGGTCTGCTTCGTCTGCTCGCTGTCGCGGCTGGCTTTCGATTCGATCAGCGCACCAAAAGATGTTTCGTTGCGAACGCGCATTCTCATCACGGCGGAGTGAAACCAACATCTTCAGGAAGCAGGGTTTGTTTGGCTTTCTCAACCCGCGATGCCATTCTCAACGTTTTTGTGTACGACGACTGACAAGCGATCGCTTGCCAAAGCCGCGCTACGACGGCTCGTTCTAGACGACGCTCCAGGCACGGTCGCGCAGTGTCGAGGGCGTGCGCTACACACCCACTTCCTACTGGTCAGGCAACTGTTGGGCACCAAATCTCGCCTGTTCGACACCGATTCAGTGGACGCTGCCATCGCTGCCTTGAAATATTGGGGCAAACAACAGCGTTGCCACGGAAATGCCATGGCGACGAGGCTTGTTTGCCCCAAAAATCAATTTGACGAGCTCCCCATTGGGTGAGAAGAGTTCATGGTCACGCCTACTTCCGTTACACTTCGCTCCATGTATAGAAAATACGGGCGCCACCTCCTGCCCCTTATAACCTCCTTGTAAGCGAGCCAGTCCCCGGTCGCTTCTTTTTGGGATTCACGGCCTGCTTTGACAGACCACTCCCACTAAAGAAATGTAGCAACAACAAAACAAAACAAAAAAATAAAAATCGAAGGGATTCGTTACACTGAATCGCAATCTTGGTTTTGAAACGTGCCTTTCTTGCAGTATCTCTTGTTCTGTAGAAGCACATTCCTGAGTGGCAGTCTTGCGTAAAGGCCCATACAGGCAATAGACCGATCTCACCAGCCAGTTTGACTACACCACCACTGCTGCAATGCATCAAGGGAACTTCAGTCTTTCTGCACGTGCGACAACCTCGCTGAAGCTCTGCTTGTGTAAGCACGAGATGGTACGAGTCCTCTCGTGCATTGTCCTGGCACCGCCGTCTGCCTCCTCTGAACTAAAGTTATGGTGGCGCCACGCATGTGCCGAATTCTCAGTCAGATCAGTCTGTTGCGTTAGACTGCGTTGCGACTGCAGGTAACAAGGAAATATATACTTTGTATGCCGCGTGATAAGCAAATTAGGTGCTTCGTTTTATGTGAACTACAGACAATCCGCCGACTCGTGGCTACTTTTCGATGAAATGCTGTCAAACACACTAAAACGCAACTGCGTGTATGAGCATTTACGACGTTGCACTGCCATTTTGCAGCTGCATTTTGTACTTTCTTTCATTCTCACTCCCACTCAGCTTTGACATCAGCAAATGGTGGATGCATTTGTCGTCTTCTTGAAATGCAAAAAGAAAACAAATGTGCTGGGATTTTGGCTCAAAGTACCTCAAGGAACTTTGACAAAAGGCAGCAAGAAGGGAAAGGATTGTAACGAGTCCAAAGAGAAGAAAAGCATTGACGCTGACTGCATGCGGTGACATTGCACAAGCCTGTACAAATGCGGTGGTGTGGAAGGCAAACATTTTTCTTGAAGTGGGGCCCTTGCACGTGTTTATACAGTAATGATGTTCGCTTTTACTTGGCTGAGTGTGTAAAAGTTGCTGCATACCTTTTATGAAGCCATCATTTCTTTAGTTCTGCATGCTGCCAAACGAGATAATGCAGTGGAAGATTTATGCATGCTAGATACTAAAGGTGGAGACATCGACGAGCACTAACCAGAAAACATATGCTTATTATATCTACAATCCCCTCCTTTAGGGCCTTCTTCTTAAGCAGACAGTCCAAGCAGGGCAAAAACAGTCTTGCACCATTCTCTAAACAAATAGGGTCGCATTCTGCGTCTCTTTTGATGCTTTGCGCTCTGCCTGTGCCGTTCTGAGCTCTTCAAAGGCTGTATTTAGCCAAACAAGGACGCATTGCTGCTTGAGTGGCACGTTTTCTGGCTTGCGCGAGCAGGTCTTTATAATACTGCCTGTCTGCAGCCCGTGTGCCAGCTGCCGAACCTGCGGGCGGTGTGCTGGGGCTTCAGGCTGGTCGTGGACGAGGGGTCCCGGACGTCGTCGGCCCGGTGGTACTGGTCGCCCTTCAGCAGCAGCAGCTGCTGCCTCAGGCTCAGGTGGTCCCTCCGCCATTGGCAGAGGCCTTTTCCGGCGTGGCAGAGGCCTTTCCCGGCGTGGCAGAAGCCCTTCCCGGCGTAGCAGAGGCCCTTCCCGGCGTGGCAGAGCAGCTGCTGCACCAGACTCCAGGGACGTCTTGTCCTCTTCCAGCAGCCAGTCCGAAGGCTGGTAGTCTCGTTCCCTCAAACTCCGGCACCTCGAGGAAAATGACCCCGGAGTCCACATCGACCTTGTGGCTGAAAGCCTAACTTCTGGCCCAGCCTCATCAGTTGATAACCGCACATTGGCTGGGGCTGTGTTGACCCTGAGGACAATCCGCAAGGTTGTGTGTCATGTCACCCCTGTACATATTTTGCAAGCACTCTTATTTATTTATTTATTTTTGTTTCAGGAAATCTTTTTGTGTGCTTGTGGATCAAGCTTGATCCCTCAGGTCTTGGCCGTTGTGGCTATTGTGAAAGTAGCTAGGCTCGAGCAGAGCCAAAATACGTTGTGCAGGTCAAGCCCAATATTAGCTGCGTGGCTATCAGTTGTGAATGCAGCTGGCTTCAAGTGGAGCCAGTGTGCAGTGTTGATGCTGATATGTTGTGTTCTATTAGGAATGTCACAAAGACACGTTGGTTGCGAAGGTAAGAGTGTGGCATTGCTGCATGGCCGCGTGGCTAGCTCTAATGGGGCTGGCCTTTTATTGGGAATGTATGCGACAGCATAGATGGCGTTAGGAACCCTACAGAACAAGTCATAACAGGTCCAAGCCACCCAATTTTCTGGTTGCTTGTCCCTGTGTTTCTTTCCAATGGTGAAAAGACTACTATGCTAAGTATCAGATGTGCTTGTGGTGATGCAAATTTAGGGGGTATGCTTGTCAGTGCTCATTGGACACCATATTCAAGCTTACGGCTCAGGATGACTTCTTATTGATATACCAAAAAAGACATTCTTCGTGTGGGCAATGTGCGTGTTGCAATTGTTGTGGAAGCTTGCCGTCGGCATTTGCTCAGCAGCAACGAGCTCAGCTATGGCCACCAGTTGTCAAGGATCTTTCTCAGTTAAGAATTAAATAGTCCGAGCAGTAAATGTCGTACCGTTTAATCGGCCGTTCTTATAGTTCAAGGTATACAACAAAAAAACCTCCTGCCTCCTCTGCTGCTGCGTTGTTTGGAGCCTTGTATGAAACTTGTCTGTAGTATTGCACCACAATGTCATGAGGCATCGATGTGATGAGGATATCGCAAAGCATGGCCGCGAAACTTCCGGTCGGCACGTTTTGTGAGTTGAGAGCTCGAATGTTCAGCTGCATAGTGTCGTACAAGTTCCTCAGACCCATGGTGTCTGTACAAGATCGAACATGGGGAAGATTTCGAAGGGCCGCCAGGTGTACTTGCTCTATCCTCTTTTGATCACCAAAACGTTGCTTTAGTAGTTGAATGGCATCAGCATAGCA